GTGGCCCGAGCATGGCTGAACGGGAGAGCGCTACGGTCAGGTTGGTGGGCGGACGGGACCACGCAGGCCATGGAAAAGAGAGTTCAAATCTCGAAGACGCAACCTTTCAAACTCTCGAGATATGGTGATAACACGATGAGATTTATGTTTTAAAAAATTGTAGGGGGATAAGAGAGGAACCGAGGAGAGCGGAAGGCGGCTTGCAGCAGGGTGGTGGCGGCCGATAGATGGAAGAGCAGATGCATTGGATTTGGGTACATCCTGGGCCCAGGATGAAAGGCAGGGGGAGGCTGAGAGGAGAGTCAGAGAGGCTCCCCTGTTAAGCCAGCTCTGTTCGTTGGCTGCCTCCTCTTGGCCCTGGGGTTGGTGGAGGTGGGAGGAAGGGAGGGAGACAGTTAATGGCAGTAAAACTTTTCCCTAAACCCAGAAGTCATTCTTTTTCCTCTATTATCGGGACACTACATTCTCCTGGTTTTCCAACCACCCGTCAAATGAGCCCCACTTCCTCGACCTTCTTTCCTGGTCCCCCCTCGCGTGCCCTCTGACTGTTCAGAGCACGACCAGGCTGGGCTCCTCCCTCTGTGCTCACTCCCTGGGGGGCGCGTTGCATCTCTCGGCTTTAACCATCACCCGTGTGCTGAACACTCCCAAGTTTGCATCTTCACCCCAGACCTCTCCCCTGAATTGCACACTCACACAACTGCCTACTCCACATCTCCGCCTGAATATTTAGTCAGCTCGGACGTAACAGGGCCGTACCTGAACTCCTACTCTCGCCCTCGGGATCGGCTCTGCTGGAATCTCCCTCATCTCGCTGACCAACCCTTCCAGCTGCTCAGGATAGAAACTCGGGAAACCCTTCCAGCCTTGCGCTCTCGTAGCCCTTACCCAAGCCCATCAGCCAATCCTGTCAAATCCACTGGGAAAAAAATCAACAAGAACACACACATCCAAAATTCCATCTCTCCTGCCACCTCTGACCCACTATCACAGTAATTTCATAATCGGCCTCCCTTGACTCCCCACTATCTACTCTCAGTGCAACTGCCAAAGCAGCCTTGATAAAACTTAGTTCGGGTCACGTCACTCTACTGACCAAAACCCCCGACGGTCTGTCTGCTGTCTCACTCAGGGTCCAGACGAAAGTCTTCTCAATGTGCCTACGTGATCTCCCCTCCACGTCCGCCCCCTTCATCTCTGGTCTCACCTCTGTCATTCTCTGCACCCCTCCCCACCCTTCTCCCCACACGCGCGTGCGCGCATGCAGCGAGGCGGTGAGCCTTAGCGCTTGCTGCCCCCTCTGCCTGAATGCCTCTTCTCCCCCAGATATCCGAATGCCTTACCTCAGCCATCTCTCCGCCCCGACATTAAGTTTTCCGCGAGGCCTTCTTGAGCAGCCCACTTGAAATGGCGGCTGCCCTCCGCCACCGTCCACGTGCGTTCCCTTCTCTGCCTTTCCCTCCACGGCGGCTGTCTGACTGCTGCGCTGCGCACTGTTTACTCCGCATGCGCTGCCACAACCGCTAGAATATGAGCTCCGCGATGCCAGGGCTGTTGTCTCTTATGTCCCGCTTTGCTTATTTCCTTCCCCAGAACAGAGCCTGGCACATGGTGGGCACTCAATAGTGAGCGAACGAACGGAATTAGGGAAAGACCCACGGCCCTCAAAAGGCAGCCTGGGTCTGGGTATTCGGACCTGATTTCTAGTACTCGCTTTGGCCCTAGCTACATGAACTCTGGCCTCACGTTGCAGGCAGTGGAGAAGTGGCCCTTTGCTGCTGCGGCATTCTAGAACAACGCTTAGCCATAGCCTACCTGCTGCCACCCGGCTGAGAGTAGAAGTCAGGGATGGACAAGACCTGGAGTAAGAGGAAGAACTCTTGCTCCTTCTCTCTAGTCAAGGCTTGGGTGGAGTCTTTGCTGGCTTTGAAATGAGAGGCAAGGTTCTGGGTTGGACTTGGAGCCTTGGTGAGGGAGGGATGGGTGAAGTGTCCAGACCCACCAGCTGAGTGGGACAAATAGAGGCCCGTCCGCTAGCACTGGGCTTCTCCCCATGGGGAATCTGTCCCTGCGAGGGCCTCACGGGAAGTGCTGCTGTAAGAAAGAGAGGAGAAGGGGAGGTGGGAAACCAGGGCAGCTAAGGACTGACCAGGCAGGACTGGCCGGGGCCCTCCGCATGCATCGCCTGGGCCCGCATGCTGGTCTCCAACAGAGCTCTGGGCGGTCAAGCCTTCGTGCAGACCTCGACTGGCCCCCAGGCCCTCACAGGCAGAACCTGCTCCAGGGCAGAGGGGCTGGCTGAGGAAAGAGAGTCCCGGGCTCCTCCCTTTTCTGGGCCTTGCAACAGCACCCTACTTGTTTTCCCCGAAATAAATGGGCTGAGCATATCAGGCCGGGAATAACCCCTTGAAATCAGTTGTTATCACAGTTAACAACCAGTTTGGCTTCAGTTCAGGCTGTTAACTATCAAACCACTAAGTGCCGGTAATGATTGATTCTTGGCCAGTTGCAGCTTGAGTGGGCTGTAAAACCCCATTAGCGAGGGCTCTGTGGAGGCAGCAACTCAAAGATAAACAAGGTGGTGGGTGCTCCAGCCCAGCCTAGCCCCACTGCTTTGGCCTCTGCCCCCATGGCACCATGGCCTGGGGTCCTGCGAGGACTCAACCCCTTCCCAAAGCCTCAGGCAGCCTCATGGACCAGACACCAACTGTCTTGTCCAGCTCTACTTCCCCCCACCGCCACCAATCATCTCCCTCCTCCCTGCTCCTGCCTATAGTCAGGCCAGCGCTGCGGCCCGCCTCTTCTCCCTCATCGCACCCATGGCACAGTTCTACCCCGCCACTCCAGAGTACTCAGGCATCACAAGCCTGGGGGCTTCAGGAGTAGCTGTGGCCTAACCAGTCACCAGCCTTGGCCCAGCCTGGCCCCACTTTGTGGCCAGGATCACAGGCAGGGAGAGCCTGACATTCCACCACACCCCACCCCAGACTGCCTCCTATCCTGTGGCTTCCCCCAGGAATTGCTCTCAAACAAATAAAATGTGGGTAATTACGGGGCTAGGGGCTGGACAGGCGGCCCTGCAGATGAAAGCGTTTCCTGGACGGTCTCTTCATTTGCATGGCATCAGAAGCTGCTCAGAAGGTGTGACTTTTCCCACAGTGAGACCCCAGCTCCTTGCACAATAAAGCCAGGCTGCTCACCCAGAATTAATTAAAGGGGGAGGGGAGGGGAGCAGAGGAGGCACTAAGAGCTGGGGGAGCCAGAACAGAGATGTCCAGAGCCCCTCCCCGAGTGCCCAGTGTCTATGAACCAGGAGAAACCTATTCCGTCCCCAGGGTGTCCCCAGTCTCTCTACACCAAGGCTTCCCACTGAGCCCTGAAATTCCCGATCTACCTGGATGGCCTGAGTCTAGAACTTGCATCTGCAACTCTAGGAGGCCCATGTGGTTAGAAAGCCTTGGGGTGCTCTCCTCCCAAAGGAGATGCCAAAGAACAGAAGCCCAAAGGGAAGACATTCCTGGATTGGCTCAGGAACTGGGCTGTGGGATCAGCCCAGGGGCACCCTCAAAGAAGGCAGCAGAAGCAGCCAGGATGCGAGGCGTCTGTTGTAAAGACTGGTCAGCTCTGCCCTCAGGGGACCTGCTGCTTTTGGGTTTGGGTTCTCCATCATTCTGTAGCACAGCGTGGTATGATGCCAGTGTCGCCGGTCCACATCAAAACACACCCCCTTCCACCCGCCATGGACCAGTCCTCTTGTCCACACCGTGACCTGCCCTACCAGCCTGAGCTCTGCTCTCTGCCTGAGAGCTTCCCTTCCCATCCCCTACCCAGTTCCTCTCCAGCCAAGCCCCCTCTCTCCAAAGGCAGCAGCCTCCCCCTAAATCACAGTCCCCCGGGTTCTTTTGCAGCACCTGAGCTCAGCACCTTCTGCTTGCAGCTCTCTAACAAGATCTCCCAAAGCTAACACTTGTTCCACATCACGATTGTCAACACCAGCCTTGGAGGTCCCCCCTCTGACATACCCCCACCTTGGGCCCTGGCAGCTGCTCTTTTCTTTCATTTTCTGGAGCCTGACACTCAGAAAGAAAGAGCCTCAGCATCTCCTGTCTGTCTCGTGCACAGACCTAGGCACGCAGAAAGGCACAGTTCTCAGACTCATTGAATCCATGATCGAAGCTCTGGTAGGGTCATCATTTCTGGCCCAGAGGTGGCCTGGGGAAGTGTTAGCAGTAACTCCTGTTAAAAGCTAGGGAGTGTATGTCTCCCAGGACCAGCTAAGGGCCTCTTCTTGCTCCTTCCCCTACTTCTGTCCTCCAGGGAAAACTCTGCAGTGACAATGATGGGGACAGGGCCAGACATGGATCCTGGAGCTAAAGGGAGGCTCCTGTCAGAGCTGGGACCTGATTTGCTGTGTCTCCCAGCTCCGCAGCCAGCTGGGACCGGGCAGGGGCGGGAAGCCAACCCCAGAAGGAATCACCCTCCAAGACACATTTTTAATACGCAAGTTAAATAAATATTTTAGTCATTTAATAGCAACTAATACACAACCTCCCCCCACTGAACCCACCCTTAAAACACCTGACCTAAGACCCTATCCTCTCCCCCCTGGCCCCGCCTGGGGGTGCAGTGGAGTCCTTTAGCTGCCTGGCCAGCTTGCTCTGAAGGTCCTGGGGGCTCAGAAGCCCACTGCTGGACTAGAAAAACCCTCCCATGCCCAGGCCCCCCCCCCCCCCCCGGCCCCCAGTCTCAGTCTTGGCCACTAACTGGCCTTCCTGAGAGTTAAGAAGACACCACAGCCAAATGGAATACAAAAATAGAGCCTCTCTTTTGTTTAAAAAAAAACCCAACAGCAAACAATTATCAACAACTAGAACCCGGGGCTTCCCCGGCTCCTCCCCAGTCTTCAGTAGAGCAGACCTCGTCCTGCTTGAGTTTCTGTTTGTGCTCCCCTGAGACGGAAATCTCTGCGCCGGGAGCCGTGGGAGGGGCCGGGCGGGCGCCTATCGGGGCTCGGGGGCCCAAGTCCTCTGGCTGCCGCGCAAGCTGCGCGTGAAGGGCGGGTAGTTGAGGAACTCGAACCGCAGGCTCTGCTCGGTGGTGTGGTGGCCACGGGGCAGCCGCTTCATGAAGTGGACCTCACGCTGGTGCTGCCGCGTCTTGGAGCCCTTGCGGGGCCGGCCCTTGCGGGTGAAGGCCATGTACCAGCCCTCGTACTTGGCGTTCTGCAGGGCCGTGTAGTTGTTCTCCAGCACGATCTCCGTGAAGACACAATCCTTGCCTTTGCCGTTGCTCTGCAGGTAGGGGGGCCAGACACAACGTTACTGGGCTCGCTCCGGAGCCACCCCCCCTTCAGAGGCAGAGGGCAGGCGGCCCCAGACAGCAGGTGGGCACCCCAGCAGATGGCAGGGTGGGCAGGAGCTGCAGCCCCACCCCCTGCCTGGGCACCCGCTCTCTAATCCCTCACAACCCGCAGCCCACCCGGCAACTTCCTGTCCTCCCGGGCAGCAGTGACACATGGCCATCTACCGAAAGGGCTGGGCCCCAACACAGAGAGGCAGCAGAGAGGGGGCCCAGACCCTGCCCGCCCTGGCCTCCTGCCCACCAGTCTGGCCTGAGCTGAAGCACCCGTTTCCCCACCTGCCCCCCTCAACTCCTCAGGATTCCAGCTCCAGGGCCCCTGGGCAGCCACCCCATGGGGGAGGGGAGGCCTCAGAGGAGACGCTGAGTCCCAAGCCCAGAAGCCCAGCAAGCAGGGAGCTTGAGGCTGGAGAGGAGCCGTGACTAATGGGGCCATTTCAGAGCTCGGCCGAGGGGCTGGGCCTGCGGCTTACTGAACATTCCAAATGCTGGTACCATGTAATTGGACATAATAGCAAAGCAATTTGGCGATTTGTTAAAAAGATATATGGAATTTACCAACCTTCTCCCCCAAGCCCCTTCCCCAGCCTTCCTTCTTCCTCCTTTGCCTTTATAGCTTTTCGTCTCTCAAGCAATTTCCTTCTCCCTCACCTCTCCCCTTCAGATCATTAGATAACCCCAAGGTGGCCCTTGGGGTTATCTGCCCACCTTGTTGATATTCTGGAGGAGCTCAGCCAGCCCAGCCCAAGCTCCCCAGGCCTCAGCCCCCACCCCACCCCATCCTTCTGGGGCTTCACCTTGGCAATCAGCTTCCCTTTCTTGTTCATGCAGATGTAGAGGCCTGTCTCAGCTCCTCGAACTCGAACCCGGCTCCCAAAGGTATCTGTCTCCACAATGAGCTTCGCTGTCCAGGACAGAGGAAGGAGGTTACTGGAAGCTCCCCCACAGCTCTGTGTCCCCACCCCACCAGGCCCATTGACTGGCCACATCCTGGCAGCAACTGCTTCAAGGCCCAGGTACCCAAGAGGCAGGCTCCAGCCCCCTAGGTAAGGTCAAGTCCCCTACCTGGGCCGCAGGCCCCTCACCTGGGTTTACCAAGGGGCATGGACAAGATCATGGTGTGCCAACTGGGTCCTGCAGAGGGGTCTTGGGGCCTTCAAATTGAAAAGACCCTCTTTTAAAACCAGACAGTAATGACGTTTAACTCCAGGTTTCACAACTAGTTTTCCTGCTGATCAGAAGATCTCTGAGAATCATTCCAACTCCAAATGTCATGTGCAATGCCTCACAGATCATATCATACATCTGGGAGGAGTGGTGACCTCCAGTCCTGAGGCCAAACCTCAAAGCCCTCTCTTCTGTTTCTGGTACCTGGGTTTGAACTCACAGCCTTGGCCGCCCCTCATTCCCCACTGCTCTTCTGCTGAGGTGATAAGGATGGGACGGTTCTCCCCAACACAGCCCCTAGCCAGCTGCTTCCCTGAACTCAGAAACCAGCTGGGAGGGTCCTGCCTCTTCCCCTTGCTTCCCAGTTGCCGAAGTCCCCAGCACGCCTGTGTCCAGAAATCGGCAACTCCATGGTCTTCCCTCCTTCGGCCTCCACCACAGCCAGCCTCCTCACCCCGGGACCCAACCCTTTCCGTGCACGTGGAGGGAGAAAAGCAGGCGTGCTCGCCTCTCGGTCTGGGGAGGAAACACGGAACCGCGTTCTGTGCCTCCTTCCTCGTCCTCCTTCCCCTCAGACGGCAAACTCGCCACAGACGCCAGCTCCTGTCCACTGTCTGTGTAACTCCTCCCTTTGAGGCTGTCCCCAAAAAGGGAGCGAGGGCTGACTTAGCCCTTTGGGATGGGACAGAAGGGGCTGGGTCTCCTCCCTCCCCACGGCAGCGTCCAGCCCCTTCCCTCCCGGAGAGAGCAGTTCTGAGACTCCCAGAGCTGCCTCCCAGCCTCCACTGACAAGGCAGCACCTTCTCTGTCTGAACTACTGGGAAGATGGGCACCGAGGTCAGCAAGACAGCCGTCCATGCCCAGCCTGTGGCTGCCCACCCGCTTGCATAAGGACAGAGCAGGGACCCAGCGGCCAAGTCCTCAGTCTGGCTCCAAGTCAGCCAAGGGGAAGTGCAGCTGTCACTCCTCCCCACCCGCCTCCTTTTGGACCCGGCTAGCCTGCTCATCCCTCTGCCTGGTCTGCCTTGAGGGCAAAAAGTGGCTGCTTTTAAGGGCCAGGAAGGACACTGATGGGAGAAGAGCGAGGGGATGCCACTTGGAGGATCCCACTCGGAGGATTCTGGCCAAACCAGGAAGGTAGGGATGGGGTAGGCCTGTCTGCCACTTCCTGGGGCCCATAAGAGAGCAGCTAGGACCTCTCTGCTGTTCTTTTCCAGACTCTTCCTGTCCTGGCTGCACACCCTAAGTCTCTGCTCTTGGGCCCTCGAACTTCTACCCCTGCCTGCAGGGCAGGCAGCGACCGTCCAGGAGCCTGGGCAGCCTCCTGTACGTGTGAAGAGAGAAGTGGGGTATCAGACCTCTGATGTCTGAAGACGAGTTCTCCTATGGCCGCTGAGCCTCTGCTCCCCTCCCCAAAAGCCAAGGGTGCTGGGCCATTTGCTCTGATGGAGTAAACCCAGAAGGAGCCAGGCAGGCATTCGTTCCCATTCCTAGGAAGCTGAGAAGGGCAGCCAGCAGCCAGTCTGGAGGGACAAAGGGAAGGTAGGCTTGCCCTGCCAGCCCAGTGGGGGAGCTCGGCCACTGGGCAGGCTGCCTCCACCCCCACCACCAAGAGCCCCCACTCTCCTTTCTGGATGTTTCTGGGGAGCTGGGGCTGCAGTGTACAGCGGCTTCCCCGACCGGGCTTTTGGAAAGCTTAACATTTTCAAACCTATTCTTCCACCCAGTGACAGATTTATCCCAGGAAAATTATGTCTCCTTCTCCAGCTTTGAAGGGAAGTCAGCTACGTCGACGCAGAAAAAATGCAGCGAGACATACTCGATCCCCCAAACTGGCTCGAGAAGAGGAGAAAGTATTCAGGAAATGTTTAAAACGGTGAAAGTAAGAAGAGTTTTAATCGCTCTGCCAGACGCGGGGGTCTCTCCGGAGATTCGTAGAGAACAATCTTGAACCTCTTTTTTAACATTTACAGACTTGCAACTCTTTTCAAACTCCATCCACATCTGAAAAAAGAGGCTCGTTCTTTTTCTGTTTTATATCATTCTTCATTTTTCTTCTTAGCTCTTAAAATGCCTCACCTTTTTATTACATTTTAATAGAGTCTTCCCCTCTGCTTTCATGCTTGTTTAACTTGGTCATTATTTAAAGGTTTTTAAATTCACAATAATCACTCTCTAAAAACAACACCAGCCGCCCAGAGGGCTTGCTTTTCTCTGGGCACATCAGGACTCTGGAAATTGGCCTTGTTTCAAGGCAGGAATATTGAATGTTTTAGAAATCAATCAGTCCTCGGCCTCTCCACCGGGCAGTAGCTCCCCGCACTCACCACCCCACCGGGAGCTGAGAGACTGCTCTGACCCACCGCTTGGGTTCCTGGGCAAGTGGAGCAGGGAGGGCCCTGCTGGGGGCCCTCGCCTTCCCAAGCCTAGTCCCCGTGTGTAACTGACCCTTCTGATCAAAGCATTTAAAGGTTCACAGCACCCCCTCCAAGCTGGGAGAGTTTGGGGGACTTCTCTCCCTTCTCTTTCCCACTCTCCTTTTGTGGGCCCTGGCGACATATCCTCTTTCAAGAGCTTCCCTTAAACCTGGGCCCCCTCCCCCTGAACCCTCTGCCTCCACCTGCAGCTTGGGAGGGGTGTATGAAAGGGGGAGGTGTAAAGGGAAATTCCTGGATTCATTCATCTGCTGGGCAAGGAAGGGGCACCTGTGGGCCAAGTACTCCCCAAGGTCCCTTCCCAAACCCTCTCTTCTCCAGCTGACCCCCGAAACACTCTTTTTGCCTTAACCCCTTGCCTTCTGAGCTGGGAGCCTGCAGAGCCCTGGCCCACACAGTTGCGGCTGGTCGGTCCCGGCACCGCAGGCCCGCCGGGGAAGGGGGCGCGTTCCCGGAGCTTCCTTTACCCTGTCGCGCTGCAGCTCGCCTTACCGAAGGGGTCCCCGTCTTCTGCCATGGCGTTGATGCGCTTGTTGGCCAGGACCTGCACGTGCTTCCCGCTGGTGCGGCTGTAGAGCTGGTAGGTCCGGATGAGGCGGCGGCTGAGCTGATCCGTCACCAGGCTCTGCTCCCTCACATGCTGTGTAAAATTAGGTGAGGACTGAACAGTTACCTTTAGGAAATTGAAAAATACACAACACGCCATTATAATGCTACTCTGCCCAGGGGCCCCAGTGGCCCCCACTGCCCTGTACCCCACCTCCACTGCCCCGAACAGCCGGCAGGGGCTGGGGGTCCCCCCAACATGCCAGCTCAGGCCACCACCACCCACCCAGGAAAGCCGGGCGTATCCAACCTGGCGTGGATGGGTCGGGGGGATGGGGAAGGATCTGGACCCACCTGTTGGGAAACACCCTGGGACTCGCGGCCAGCTCGGAACAGGGAAGCCAGCTCCCTGCCCAGCGCAGGCCCCCCGCCCGGGCCTTCCTAGAAGAGCAGGGCGCTTTTAAGTAAGGAGGCAGCGCTGCCTGACCCCTGACATTTATAAAGACAAATTTACGGAGCAAATGTTGAGAGCGCAGAGGGCCTAGGCACCTGATCTTTCCTCCAGACCCGCCACCAGCCTCCCCCGAGAGCCGCGGGGAGGGTCCCTGAGGCAGGCCCCCAGACCTCTGACAAGAACGCCCTCCCCTCGGCCCCGACCTGCCCCCTTCCTCGGCGGCCAGGTGAGGCTGCCAGTGCAGTACCCCAACCTGGCCGATATGCGTGGGAGACAACGCTGGACTTGGAGACCTTGGGTTCTAGCCTCGATACGCACTGGCTGTGTGACCTAGTACTGGACGCTCCCTCTCTGTTCCTTAGCTCTCGACTCGGGATAGTTCGGGGTGGGGTTTCTAAGGTCCCTTCAGACCCTGCCGCGCTGGCCGCAGCGTCGGTCCTGGTGCCCCTGCGTGACTTGGCCGGCCTGCATTCCCCACCGGCCCTCGCCCCCGCCTCCGCGCAGCGCGCCTTACCTGGGCTTGGAGGCAGAGAACCAGCAAGTGCAACAGCCTGTGGGAGACAAAAGCGGGCGGGAGAGAGAGGGGCGCGGGGTGAGCGAGGGGTGCGGCGCGCGGCCGGCGGGGACGGGGCGGCGGTACTCACAGGCAGCTCAGCGCCGAGCGGGGGCTGCCCATGGCGCGCGGCCCGGGGAGCGCGGGGAGCCCCGGCGGGATCACGCCGGCCCGCGGGCACACGGGCCGAGACCGGCGGCTAGCGGGGGCTGCTCGAGGGCGGGAGCCCGGAGGCGATGCCGACGCGGCTCCGCAGGTCCCGTGGAAGGTCGAGCTGGCCGCGCCGAGTCGCTCTGCGCCGCTACCGGAGTCGGTGGCCGCTGGCTACTCAGGAGCCGGAGCAGGCGGAGGGTAACGGGCCGGCAGGGTGGGTGGGTAGGTGGGAAGGGGAGGGGGAGGGGTGGGGGCGGGGGGCGCCGCACCGGGCGCGAGGGGGGAGCGCGGGGCGGGCGGCCGGAGCCCGCAGCCCCGGCTAGGAGCTGGGGCCGGGACGCAGCCCGGGGCGGGGGCGGGGCGGCCGGGGCGGGGCGGCCGGCGGGTCTGGGATTGGGGGTCTGGGCCAGGGGAGGGGTCTGGGGACCCGCCGGAGGGGCGTGGGCGGCCGAGGTGGGCGCCTCCCCCCCTCCTGGGCCTGTCCCCTCGCGCGCTCTTGAGGTCTAGACACGCGGGAATAGGGGGCATCTCGGGCGCCCGCTCCATGGAGTCCCGAGACCCTCCGCAGGGGTCTCCTGGACCGCGGGTGCGTGTGAGTTGGAAAGTGCCAGGGCTCCACTGTGGGGGCCGTCGGCTCATGCCTCTGCCTATGCTGCGGGTCTCTGAGCCACCTACTGTGCGCTCCTGCTGCGCCCGCCCTTGGGAAGTGGCCTCTGACTCTGGACTGAAGGGCAGTACGTGCCTGTGCAACGGGGAACCGACCCCCATCCTTCTGCTGAGTACCCTGCCTTGCCTGTCCCTCTGTCTCTCTCGGTCTTCAAGAAGCCCGGAGAGACAGAAATGTCTCCTTCTTACCTTCCTGCACCCATTGTCACCATCACCTCCCACTCCTGTTCCCACCCCGCCTACCAATACAAATACACACATATGCTGGCCTGAAGCTTGGGAGGAACCAGGAGCCACCTATGTGGGAGAGCCCAGAAGTCCCTGGCAAGGACCCCCAGTCCCTGCCAACCCCCAAAGCAACAGGCAGATGGGGCAAAAATAACTACTCTTAGCTGTTTTTCCTGGAGAGGAGACTTCCATCCGGGCCACCAACTTTTCTCTCTTGGAGCCCCATTATTCGTGCACTTACGAGGCATTTACACACCTCCTGTGCACTAGACAGGCACTGGTACTTTCTGTCAAATGGGACAGGGGGCAGGGGAGCGCCAAAGGAGGAGGTACAGCCTAAGTCTAAGCCTTTCCCAGGCCCTCACTGCTTCCCCTGGTGGGAGGAGGGGTGCTTCTGGAAACCCCAAACCATGGTGCTTTGGGGGGAGCAGCTTAGGTGGGCAGAGGTGACCTGGGATAGGTACTTCAGAGGAGCAGGTGGAGCCGCTGATGCTCTGCCCAGCTGCTGCCTTTGGCCACACCCCCGTGCCCCACAGGGGCCCCCTCATGTCCTTGGGGGTTGGGCTGGAGGGGTTGGGTGGTCTTAGGAAGTATTAGGCCAAAGGCAGTAGGCAGGTCCTTTTCCAACAGTAGAGCCAAGTTCTGCTTCCCTCCCGCTCCTCTGCCTTCCCACACTCCCAGCCATAACACTAACACTGAGAAATATAGGAAAAGAGTCAGACGACTTATCCCAAAAATCTCATGGCTCCTCAGAGGAGTGGACTTCCTGAGCCCACCTGTCACCCCCTCCAGGAGCCAATTCACTCAGCAGGCTCTTGCCCAGGCAGACCTCCAGGCAAGGACCATGTCTGACCAGCTCGGAGCTGGCAGCTCATGGCACAGAGCTGAGCAGGGCTGTTCTGCAGTTAGCATTTGGGATGAGTGCACAGTGTGGACACTGGCTGAGCATTTAGACCTCAGCCCGTGTGCCGGTCCCCAGGAAGACTTGCCTTCACCCCCTTGCCTCCACAGATACTGATGATAAACACCATCATTTACTGAGCACTTTTGTTTGCTACAAGCTGGGCTTACACCCTGTTCTCTCAACCCCACTGGGAGATGGGCCCATTGGGTGGGTGGGGGCGGCAGGTGAAGTGGGCTCCAGTGCCCACAACTCAGACCAGCCCCTTTTCTTTATTGTGCTCCTCTGGGTTAGAGGCCTGCGGGACACCTGTTGAGTGTCTACCTCCCCAGCTGCACTGCTTCAAGCAGGCAGGATACTCACCACCTTAACCTCATGCCTGTGACTCGTATGCCTTTGAAAAAGTTTATGTGCATATAGTTAATGAATGAATGAGTGGAGAAATGGAGAGCAGAGGATCTGAAGGGCCTTCTCCCCGCCCAGTTCTCTGAAAATGGTCTGATGAGAACAGGGAGTCGGATTCAGGCATTCAGCCAAGCTTAGTGTGTTGTGCATAGTCCTGGAGCCACAGCCAGAACCTCTTCAAGCACTGGTCCTTCCCTGGAAAGGTGGGGGTGGGGGGTAGGGGGGTGAAAGCCAGAGCTCCTGGACCAGACCAGGGTCCAACTCGAGTTCTGGAGTCCCCAGAGGGTTCCAAAGGCCCTAGGCTGAACCTCAATCATCACAACCACCCTTCTCTCTCTCCCCCAGAGAAGATGGGCATCTGGGGCCTAAAAGTGTGGAGACCAGGATTTTAGTTCTACACCTCAACCTCTTCCAAAGAGCCTGCTTGTACAGGACCAGAATTCCTTCACATTTGGAGAATTTTCCCTGAACTTGATCTGGGACAATTTGGGGAGATTCTTTTCATCTCCCCCAAAGCCTGTGTCTCTAGAAAGGGGCAGATGGGGACATACCCCCACCCGGCCCCAGGTACTGTCTGGGCACACTCTGAGTGACAGATGCAAAAATATTCCTTCAGGGCCCCAGCAGGTCGCTCTCTCCCTCCCTCACTGCCTTGCTCGCCTCCCAGCCAGCTTGCTTCTTCCTTTATCTTATCAAAGCCCCGTAATTACAATTGCTATTTTGTTTCTTCGAATCTGCAATCAGAGCTCCCTGGCCCTGATGAGGGAGCGCCTGTCAGCCTGATCGCTGAGTGACAGCCCGGCCGCCTTTCCCCGCCGCCCCCACACTTCGTAAACACACACACACACACACACACACACACACACACACACACACACACACACACACACCCCTCACCTCCTACAAACACAAACACACACTCCTCACCAACATAAACAGCTTCTCTCCGCAAACACGCTCTTGCGGAGACCCAAACACACACCTTCAACCCCTTTCCAAACGCATCCCTCGCCCCTGGCCCTCCCCAGGCCCCTCAGATCCACACCAGGTTGCACGGGCTGCCCGGGCTGCCACTCGCTCCCTGGCGTGCCTTCTGCGCCAGGTGTTCAAAGCGCTGCGGTCTCTCCTCTGGCCGTTCAAATGCAAATTGTGGAGACTGCGTTAAGCACTGCAGACACCGTCTGAGAGTCGTCCTGGTCTCCCTGTGAAAGGCAGGCCTGCCTTTCCTCCCCGAGGTCTGCAGACCCTGGGGTACACCTTCATGCCTCAGCGCTCTGTAGCCGGAGTGAATTGGCAGCGCTCCTACTGAGCGCTGAGGGTGTAGAAGGGGATCGAGGAGAGACGGGGTTGTGGGGAGCCGAGGAGGGAGAAAAAATAATTCCTAGCATTATCCGCCGGGCGGTTGGTGCGGCCGGGAAACTCCTGGACGCAGGGGCAGATGTGGATTAGGCCCCCACTGTGGACAGGAGCGCACTCAGTGCTGCCAGGTCACTCTCGGAGACCCACCAAGACAACAGCCGAGGCACACAGTGAGCCATCGGCCGCTTGCGTGGGGCAAGACAGGCAGTATATTGGGGCGGAGCTACGCGCAGGGGGTAGCTGGGTCAGCCTCCCTCTGCCCCCAGATGACTTTTCCCAGCACCCAGCAGGTCTCCCGCGCCTCTGACCTTGAACGTGCGGAGGACTAAGGAGGCTATGGGCAAGAGGAGGTAGGGGAGCGCTCTAACAGGAGTCCTTCCAGAGAACGATGAATGAATGAATGAACGCACCTAGTCAGCCTTACTTATTTCGCCTTTCGCCCAAACTTCGGCAGCCAGACCACTTGAGGGCAGCGAGCTCCTGCGCGCCTAAAGCCCCCTAAAGAGGCAATGTGGGGCAGCGACAGAGCCACAGGCAGTTTCAACATCGCCCACCAGAGGGCGCCAGCTCCCCTCCCCCTCTTTCTACCCCGTGCTGCGGTACGGTGAATGGTCTCAAGTCTGGCTACCCTCCTCCACCCTGGTCCTTGGTGGAAGTACTTCAGGGAAGTTCTCAGGGAGAGAAGAAAGGGGTCTGCGACTCTAATCACTGCATCAACGACAACGAAAACAAAAAATAGAGGGATCGTCTTCCTTTCTCCTCAACTTGAGGATAAAGGGAAGTTAAAAATTGGACCTCTTTGCTCTTCACCACAGAGCAGGAATCTTCTTCTAGGGATATGTTGGACAAGGAGTGCTTTCCAGGGGCATTCTCCCCAAAGTTCACCTAGCTGGCCCAATACCACCTTGGGCTAAGCCCCTTGGGGTTATCCAGGGACCCCTACTTGCTCAACTCATTGTGGGAGGGAGTAGGCCTCCCCACCCCCCACCCCCAGGCACTGTTCTCTGTCCATCCTCAGCATGTCTGGCCCCAGGTGTTAACCTTTTATTTGTTTGTTTGTGAGCATTGAGACACCCCACTGCATCGACACAGCTGTTGAACTGCTGACCCCAGAGTCGGTCACATATACATACAACCCTTTTTCTTCTTGGCACAGCAGCAGCCAAGCCCAAGAACCACCTAATTCCAGGCACCAGAGACCCTAGACCAGGCAGTGTGTGTGGGGCGGCAGAAACCCCTTAACCCAGGAGACTGAATCCCAGAGGCTCTTCTCTGCCCCCATATGCCAGGCCACCCGGATTCTGGTTTCCCTGTCACCCAATCTGGTCAGCCCCCTCCATCTGGCCCCTGGAATCAGGTTTCTAAGGCCCCACAGCAGCTCAGAGACAGCCTGCAAGACTGGAAGGAGCAG